TTTTCGCCCAACCATGTGAAGGGTGGAAGAGAGCCAGAGGCGGTCAAACAATGACTTGGCAGCGAAGTATGAAAGCCATTACTAGCAAGCTCAGCTGCGCTGGTCACTGCCGTCTTCCTGGATGGGGACCCCGAGACGGACCACATCAATGGTTAGAGACATTATCAGACATGGCCCAGTCACACCCTCAATGGCGCTCATGCATCAAAGCTATTGCCTTCAATGCATAGCTCCTTTTCCATCCCCCCGCTTGACAACCCACTGACAGCGCTGGATTTATGCACCAACTTACCAGCTCGCGCGAGCAATGCGCAGCTACCTACCCCTCAATCATCGGTGAACGAAACTGTGGCAGCTACAACCAGTGTACGACGAGTGCGCGGTTCTTACAGCTGACAAGGATGATGATGATGATGAGAATCGAGGGTGTGGAGCTAGCGAGCGTATGGAAAGCGGTCTTAGATAAGCCGAGTTGACACGTGCCGGTGTGGTTGTCAATCCACTTAGGATCATTAGAAAAAACCTTGGGGTAGGGGGTGGAAACTCCAACCGACCAAAGGTCACGGCATCCCTCCTACACAACTTTCTTAGCACTAGCTCACCCACACAGACTAACAGAAGGTTCAAACGAAGTTCAAGAGGAACCATCAAATGAACCGAACCAGAAGAACTAGACCCTAGGCAGGACCCAAACACATGTAGGTTTCCCCACCGACCCAACACTTGTTCAGCCACTCTAACACACTAAAATCCCTCGTCCGACACCCAACAGAGATTTAGCTTGACTTAGCTGATTGGTTCTCCTTCCGCCTTAAATCTCGATCAACCTCGGAACCTAGTCACTTGGCCTGAGGAAGCTTTTGTGTCAAAAGCGAAACGTTGCCCAGCAACAAATCTACCGATTGTCACCAAACTTTTTCGAAAACGATGACTATCCAATCGGTTTCAAGTATTTTTCACATGACTGTCGACTCTACTTTTAAGCAGAAGCAAAATTTTCACGTCCTGTCGTGAAACCATTCGATGATACATGATCTGCGCAGGATAGTTCCGACCAGCCAATTTCTATTCTGTGCTTCTACTTTCGTGCTTTACACCTACTCTCCCTAACAGACCTTACTTTAATGAGCCCTGAAAAATATCGCGGTGTGACTCACCAACTGTAGATAGCCCACCATATTGCCACAAATATTGCCTCTGAAACCAATGTAATTGAGTTTTTGGTTCATGTTGATTCTTCTGTGTTCCACGTTTACTTTTCCCTCAATGAATGCAACCAAATTCATGATACAAGTGCAGCCATGCGGTCCTGATCTATCTTTGGCAATGTGGTCACTTATCAAAATCTTCCTTAACGATCAGGAACTGAATGAATGGTTTCAAACAATCCGTCAACAAAGTTTAGGGAAAAGATTTTATTGCTTCATTAACTCCTAGTATCGAACCTAAAACTGAGTTGGTCATCAGTTCTAGGACAAATTGTTTTGAGTTCCACGGCAGTTATTTCTTGGAGCAGCCATTTTCACTCAGCTGTATATTAGGTGAATACGATCCAGAGGCTTTGTATTGAAGTTGAGGCCTGAAACCCGATTAGCAAACTCAGTGTCGCTAATTACCATCACTTCATAGAACCTGGATGCGGCGACAGGATTCGGCAGTGGTGAATACAGACATTTTAACGGCTTTGGAGATTGTTGCCTTCAATGCGCGTTTCGATCACACGTTAATAAGAAATCACCACAAGGAGTATGACACTGCTACCAGATATTGTCTCTCACGTAACAACTGTTCGCCTTGAGAAGTTTGTTTAGACTGTTCGCTGTTGGTGTTTGCATGAGAATTGGTTACACACCTACGCAAATCTGACTGTTTTATTCGACCAGCCCAGTGCCTTCTGCCGTCTTATCACTCGAGACAACTTGTAATCCTGAATCATGGTGCTTGATTTTTAGACAAATCAGTGCGGTACAACCTAACATGCAGCTATGTGCATTATTAGATGTGTAAGCCCTATCACTCCACCTGGTCTACAAGAGTTCGAACTGCCGCTGAAGTAAACAAGAGACTGTGAGCACACTAGGCTTGTCTCTCATGGATGCATACTGTTGTGTCGTAGGTGGCCGTCTGTTGGTTGCGCCTGTACTGAGCCTACCAGACCACGCGTAAGGAGAAGACGGAGAACCCTGGACACGGCTGTATTGCGTAAATATATATAGGATACCTACAGGGCCAAATATGGTCGTTCACTTGTTCGTTCTGTACAGCTAGTGGCGGTGTTCCGATCGTGAGCAATTTCAGCCCCGCTCCACCGGCCTTAGGTTGCTAAGCCGTGTTTGGTGTACTCCTGCTTTCCGAACGCACCTGCTTTCCGAACGTGTCGTGCCGATGATGACCTTGGGGACGCGTCACTCTCTTCACATGTGCTTTTTTCATGTCTGGGCGCGTCCTGACATACCTAACTGCATTAATTCAAAAGAGCACGTTATCTTTCGTGACCTGTTCGCTAAAGGTTTTTAGGTTTTCAGCAACCTTATAACTATTGTATTACGTCCAGGTTATTAAGCGTTACTAGTGAATGGGTTGTGACAAAAGACTGAGGTGGTCTGTTGCACTTTCGGATGCTTCGTTCGGGACTGCGAACTCATGGAAATCGGAGTATCTCATGGTGCCATGCTAAAATTGGGTCCAGACATCCGCACCAAATTTTCAGTGTACACTACGTGTAATGCGACCACTCTGGTTATTTTTGATTAGGTTTAGATATTCTGGTGCAGCCCATTTATTCTCAACTGTCTTTTGCTGCATTGGTTTAGTTGTTCAGTGCAAGCCGCAGCACTGACTTTGTTTTCCAATTTAAGAGAATCACCACTTGAGTTTCACAACCCGTCCGATTGCCACTGAGGTGTCGCAGCATTTTAGCAATCTTTTCACTTATTTTTCATGGGTGGTGCAAGTAAACTAATCTGGCAACGTTTTTGCATTGCCTCCATATAGGCGTTTTATTCACACACACTTTTCCTTTCAGATTCGAGCGCAACTTGGATGTAGATCTTGCTTGTGTCTGTCTGGAGAGCGTCTTGCATCGGCACGGAGATCTTATACTCAACACTGTTTGCACGACAAACACCCAAGTGGCAGATAAGTCATCCGAAATTGATGGTCAAATTGACGCTATTCTGAGCTGCGAACAACATTCAGATGATTTTCTTTCTCACCCGACTCTGCAGCTCATTTCTCGCGCGGTCGAGGCAAAGGAGAAGACTAGCACTCTCTTCACTCGACGTTTGACCCGATCCATTTGTCTGGTTGATTTCATTCGGAACCCAACAACAACGTTACAATTTTGAACAACCTGTGAACCTGTGTAAATATACATGCCTGACTGCTTACTTGACATTACTTTTTTAAATTTGTTCTCAAGCGCTGTTGGGGAACCACTTAGTAGGGGAGAAAAGTGTACATTCTCCTGTGCTCGACTCGCATGAAATACCTTTCTTCAAATCTAAGGGAATCCAGAAGACAGGTTAGTTTTTTGGAGATTGGGCTAATGTGCCATCAAATGGTTACCTATTTTTTTTGGACCGCAATGATTGATTTCGATCAACGGAAAGCTTGCCAATGTTGATAGATGGATGCGGTTCACCTTGATTCGTTTTGTCCTAGTCTATAGTCATCGGTTTCCGGTGATATCTGTGGCCAACTTCTCATACGCTCTGCACTTTTCGGGATAGTAAAATTTCTTCTTTATTCACTTTCCCTCACTAGTCGATGACTGGCATTACAGCAGGCGAGTTCTTTAAAAGGCCTTGATCAGGCGACTGGATAATTTCGTTCTTGCTTAGGTTAGTGAGGACTAAAGTGAAGTGGATTTCGTCAGTCTTACTGTTGGCAGCTAATAAGAACTAACGCTAGCATAGACTCTGCAAAAAACGTGTTGGAGCCGTTGTGCGTGAAGGCACTTACTGGTCCATTTGACTGTGGAGCATCCATGGGTGCTTTCATAGTATTGTTCTAGGTCATTTATTTCACTGTATCCTGTGGTTCTTCACTTTGTCGCCAAATGATCAGTGGCGGGAAAGTTGGGATGAGTGGGGTGAGGCAAAAGTGGTTTCTCTAGTTGTGCGTTTTCTCAACTGCCCTCCTTGGATGGAAGAAGCCGGTCATGTGCAGCCTGGGCCATACTGGCGCACCTCGACGATGTGCAAATAGAACCACAGAAGGCTAGCTGTGGTGTTTCAGCAAACTTTGGGGCTGGTTCCGACGGGTCACACTCCGACTTAAGTTCAATTGACACGGAGCTGTGCTCTCCTTGTATCTTGTTATTTTTGGCTATGCCATCTCCGCCGTTGTACGAATTATTTAGCACTATCCCTTATGCATCCACTCGATCGTGCTGCACCACAGTATTGTGCAAAACCTAGCTTCAGTGAATTGGAGGAATCTTGAATCACCAGATAACAATGGTGGATACAGCCAACGTTTTGACAACACTCGAGGGGCACACTAGCCCCCATTTCGTTAAAATTAAGGACAGGATGATGGATGAACCACATTCTCTAGGTAATTGAGTCTGCTGAACAGAAGCACGTATTGAGAGTTGAAGGACTGAAGATAGCATTCTAGGAATCAATCAACAAGGCTTACGACTTCCAATGGGAGTGAGCTACTCTGCTCATCAGCTCCATTTCACACAAGCGATTGCAGATGGAGTCATGTACTAGGTCACGGAGCAACTGGACTTCACAATTTCCTACGACAATTACGAGGACGATATCCAGCACGAGTTTCAACATAGGCTAACTGTGAAGTCGGTTAGGAATGTGTGCAAATTGTTTTTAAAGATCCATGCTTTGGTAGTAACCTGACTCATCGCTTGGTTGAATAGTTGGATGAGTTGAAAGGCCATTTTTGCTATTTTCAGCTAATGCTAGGATTGTCGCAATGCTTTTGTAACCCGCGCGTCTGTTGTATTTGATTTTTGATATCAAACAAGACGGTTTTATCGCATACCTCAAACAATCCTGGTTTTCAGCCTGTTTGGGGTGTACACGATATCAAGGGTAGATGGATTTTTACGACAAATTGCTCCAGAAGGGTATTTTTATTGTTGTTGGTAACTTGGAGTCGCCAGAAACAAAACAAAAAAGAGAAGAATCGTCCGTGTTTTGACATGCATTCAAATTCAGAATATTTTAACGGCCACGTAGGGAATGGTTTCCATCAGTTTTCTCTGAAAGTCTTCAACCTGGTTTTCTCTGTCTTCAGGGACGTCAAAGTGGACTATGTCGAATCTTTCCGGGTTTTCAGGTTTCATTAGAAACGCACCAAACTGTCGAAGGAAAAGCACAACAAGACGGTAATATGGAAGTAGCTGAATCATGCAGAGGAAAAACACGTACCCTAAGGTTTCCGACCCTCTGACAGGTTGCGTGTTCTCGTCATCCAGCCATTGTGCTATGTAGGTACGCCTCAGTGAGCATCTTCGCTATGTTGAAAGTTATTTATAGGATCCGACATCTACAAGCACTTTAAGGGTCATTTTCCTGTGTTACAGGCTTACTTGTTCCCTCGATTACACAGAACATTGGCAAAGCATCAGATTTCAATTCTTTATTCGTGCTGCGAGAGGAAGCTAACATTTAGTATTTCGTTTGTTAGTAGTACCATTCGTTGCTTACATGGGAAGACTATCGGTCGGTTTCTCTGACCTTTTAAGCCCATTAGTCGGTGCTGTTCGATAGCGTTAATGACCTTCACTTTCCGACCGCTCAAAGTGTTATTTCTGTACTTCTTTTGGTTCAGATCTTTACTGAAAACCGTTTGAACCCCAGTTGTACAGTTCCTTGTTCATTTTGTTCGCGAATTTCAAAATAAAGTTATTTAATATGTCCCTGAATAGGTCATCATCGTTAGTGGTCGGGCCTAGATGCCTCACAAGTGTCGGACGTGTCTATGGATCGGTGCTGTTCAATACAGTTAAACAAGTGGCTTCTGCTTAGCCAGTGTGATCAAACTGTACGCATCCGTGAACCCCCATCTCAATGCCTGTGAATGTGGAGGTGATTCCCTTTCGTTACTTGTTTTTGTAGGTCTAGTTTGTTCTAACGTGAAGTGGTAAACTACTTAACTGAAAATAATGGTAACGTTGGACATCTCACGAATTTGCATAGCGTTTGGAACTCTGATCACTACTAAACACTGCAATTCAGCAGTTGGATTGTACTCAATGGGGACGAGATAAATCCTTACTCTTTCTATTTGTTATGCACCCAGCCCGTCTGAAATCGTCTCCGTTTTAGAAAATTTTCGCTCCTCCGAGGTAAAGTTCACACCTAAACGAATTCTATTGTGTCTACGCAAACACATAAAGCCATTTAGTGCCACATATCTCTGTAATCACCTTCAAGTTTACAGTAGACTGAAGCACAAAAACAGCATCACTCAGCCAACTTGATCTTACTTCCGGTACAAGTACACGTTATGAGTTCACCACAAAAGAAAATATGGTAGGAAGCAATGGTTATTTCTAGAAACTTTTGTGGAAGAATATACACAAATTGAACCACTCATTAGAATAGTGGCATGTTCTAAAATAATTATTCATCAACCGCTTGTGAGGTGTTCTGTCCCCTAGGGAGTATCACTGAAGTGGACCCCTTGCGACGTTCTAGAAAGGTCAACCACAAGTGTGCATAGTAGTTTTTCAGTAGCAATGCCTCATTTTNGAGCAGCTGATAAGGGTGTACAAAAACACGCTTTTATTAAAGCCAAATCCTGGAACATTTTGGGGGTTTCAATTCACACTGTTGACATGAACACTTTTGCATCGTTTACCGGGTGACCTGCTCTCGTTTCTGAAGGTGTAGACGCTAATTTCTGGCCACAGCAACAGACAGACTCTCCTAGTCTGCCTTTACGGCCCAATCTTGTGCAAATTAAATGATTTATTTGCAGTCCTGTGTTCCCCTGGACCAATCAGATATCACTCGCGCCGCGTACTTTTCGGTCGCTGGTCCTACCCGGGCCATGAACATTTTATCGGGGACTAGCTGACAGCTTCTCTGCATTTTATGGATACCAGATAGAATGCTGAATGAAACGCCCAGGTAACTCGGTTTGTTTCCGAAAAAGACCAGATCAACTAAATAATCAAATTAGTGAACATTTCGTAAACTTGTGGGAAAGACTGTGGACTAGAATGCGGACAACCAATGACTTTGTCGTCCACATACTCGCAGAATTGTATGGAGCGGGTGCTGGCATGGTAAAAGACCAAAAATTGTAAACAGCAAGAAAGAGGAGAGTTGCAGATTAATGCGCGATGGTTTCAAAGTAACCTTTTCAATGTGAGCGTGTTTGGTTAAATGTTATGGGCAAAATCACTGATTTGCCTAGAAATATGTTTGTCCATTGGCAACACTGGAGAAAAGTGTACTTCCATAAACATAACATCTTACGAGAACAAGTATAAATTTGCTTCACTTTTAAAAGCATCGATTCACAGAAAAATAGCGTCCAATTCTGACGAATGAGCTCGTACATGATGCGCAAGACAAAACACAACGATGCATTCCGAATTCACCGTTTGATTTCACTACTAAAGTTAAATATTCTATCTTAGAAACCTCGAGGGGACCTATATCCAGTCTTCAAGTTGACACAGCATATATGCGCTTATTTTGTTTGGAGTGTTTGGAATATCATATTCAGTTGGAAATTTACCTTTTGACTCAATTTTTGAAATCAACCAGGCAATTAAAATTTTGGTTTATGCTGTACATGGAAATATAGGATTTTGCTTCACTCCAGATCAGGACAAGACTTCCAGAGCTTTAATAAGTCGTTCGGTAGGCACATTTGGATTGTGATTTGAAGATCTACAGGATCGCCCCATGTTCTCCTGTAGCACTCTTTACGTACCTAACTGCCACGCCGCCAGAAGGAAGCACGAGGGCTGGAATGCTGCCAGGTTGTTCAAGCCCAAACAAGGGAAGCCGAGAGGCATGTAGATGTTTTCTGAAAGGTTCCAGCACCCCGAGAGCTCCCAGTTTATTGTAAGGCCAATTAACCTGTTCGATTTTGCCAAGCAGTTATTACAATCGATAAGTTCTTGATCCTACACACTCATGCAGATTTAAGAAGGATTCGAAATGCTTCACTGAGCGTTATTCGGCACGGTATCAAGTTGTTTTCGTACCATACCACAGTATAAGTGGTTTGATTGAATTCCGTTAAGTGGTTCCTAGCTGGGCATGAAAACACACAAGCAGCAGATGTTAGTCCATCCTTGGATTCTATACATTTTTTCTCATCTGGCTCTTACCATTTTCAATAAGTCGCGGAGTACACATGAACACAAGTCCTTTGAGTTACCCGTTTTCCGACCGCCTTGCGGTAAAGTAGCCGTACACTTATTTTTATTGTGAATCAGATCGTAAACTGGATTTTATCAAGACAGTTCAGTAGCACTCCAGGTGTCCTAATGAACATCTTGATTGCACGATGTTGAAAACAATAAAGCCGAGGCTCCACATCGGCAAGAAGTAGCGCTCCGCGTTGTGGGAGTTTAGAGTCGGGGATTGTCAAGCACTGTATAAACACAACTTGCAATGAGGGATTGTGTCATCTGACGCAGGCCGCCTGCCCAGCTTTTCCGGAATAACAGCAATACGTCAAAAACGTTAGATTTGAACGTTCCGCTTAGGAGGTGGACACAATAACATTTCATGGCTGGACTACACGCTCCTTTTACTGTCGGCATGGAAAAAATATGTGGTGAAAGAGAAATAAGATGTTGTCTTCAAAACATCCACTTTTATGACAACTAGGGAGATCTTGTCCTTTTCAAGGAGTGAACTACATGAATCCTTGAAGGTATTATGAAAGGTGAAATGTATCATGGTAAAGATATGTTATGGCAACTGTGTTATGTGGCATCTTGCTATCGAGACTATCAGAAGTTTTTGTGGTTCAAATCACTGGAGTTCTATTTCTTAGGATCCCTGTTTTGGGCAGTAGCAGCGGGCGAATTTGGAACTCCTTTTCAAAAGGAAGTGTGACGTACAGGTAAACGATCGGAATTCGTTAATAGTTTGGTTTATACAAATTGATTCCCGAAAATCTAGTATCTTTCCAGAAGATTAAAGTGGAACTAATCGATGTACGGTCAAATTGAGAAGAACGGCATAGCATATCGGGACCAAATACCCTGGTACGTAGTAAATATCCGAGATTTCTTTGAGAATTGCTCGATGAGAAAAGCTGACTTGTTGAATGAAGAAGGACTAGAAAAGAGCGGTGATATGGGGTGGGAATAAAAGTCCCCGTTTTGTTTCTCAACGTAAACGTTTATCGTGGATCTTCCACCAGAATATAGCTTGAAGTTACTGCAATCCGCAATGAGGCGTCAGTTCCTCAAAATGATCTCATTATAGAACATGTCTAAATGTTAAACATTGTGATGACTCAACATACAGTTTTTTGGTCTCGCAGGGACAATGCATAAAAGTCTTTCTTTCTTCGCTTTCAGTGGGACCACGAGGACCTCACTTTCCGTAGAAATAGTGTAATTTAGACTTTAGACATTTGTGCGGAAATTGAAGTATTCCTTCGGTTGATCAAAACGATTACAGGATTTGCACTGAAAACGGAAGTTGCGGATTATCGGTGACCAGAACTCAGATTTGTACCAAGTTTGTCGAATGTGACTGCCAGTAACCCTACCGCGACTGTGCAAGGGACATCATTTTCAATACCCTAGCGAACCCCATTCCTTAAACACGTACTGAAGTGGACAAAACCAAGTTAGCATTACCACAAAAATGCAATGGAGTCCACTAATCATTCAAAGTAGACATTGACACGCTGGGTTTTTTAATGCTACATCTTGTGGAAGCAGATTTCCCACTGACTCAAGACTGTGCTAACTCACTACCCATCCATCAGCCGTCAGGAAAATGTTGGCCTGGTTTGTGATCATGACTGGTTCAGCGTATTCAACTTCCGGTTGAACAGTTAAGAAACACGGTAGACAAACTGAAAAATTTATCGTGCCTTGCTAGCATATGTAAACAAAAAATTTTCGGGACATTACTTTAATTTTCCTGTTCCAAGGTGTGTCTTACCTCCTTTCCTCTCTATTTTATCGCTTACAGTTACCCGTAATAAGAGAATGAAGCTCTCTCGTCATCAAGCAAAATAAATTGTGGGACCGTGTCAGTCTTGTGCGGGTTGTACGGGCAAAAGCTTATAGCAGGCACCTACAGTCAAAGCTAAGATTTGAGTGCACAAAATAACTATTACCTCCTGCCTTAATAGGTATCACTACAA